TATGGCAAAATAGCTATCATTGTGTTTGACCCACAGAGTACGACCAATGATAATAATACATTTCCCACTTTAATTGTTTAATTAACAATTTAATCTCCTGGGAATCCATCACCCACTATCAAATAATCCACTGAAAACTCTTCAATTTCGGACAGATTAAAAGCAGGACAAGCCATAACAAAATAGAATTGCGCAATCACACATATACGAATGTGTGTTTATTCAATAAACTATTCATTTCCGCGTGTCGCAGTGTCATCCTACACAGTACCGTATATAACTCACAATCAGAACGACATGTATACTAAATTGTGTGAAATCATTGCGACCTTGACCTGATCTTGACCTCGATGATCAAAGTCGGATGCATACGATACAATTATTTGAACCTAACCCTATGCCATAATCGGTACGTTAATCCACCGTGTAAGAATTTGTGACGTAACCGTTAGAATTAGTGTGAGTCGGTTCGTACTTCTCTGAAATCCTGTCTGTATTTTACGCGTATTTAAATTTACTAATATGAAGTGGTCTACCGCGATGAGAATTGAGGCACAGTGAAATCGTAAATTATATATAGAATACACAACATATTCAAGGAATACAAGATTCTGTCTATCATTTTATAAGTCTGAAAACAATTTGCTAGTGAATGGCAGAGACTACATCCAGTGTTTTCTGTCATTTTGCTATATAAATCACGTGTATTTTTTAGTCTAGAGAATACCTCTGTTTGCCCCGTTTTATTTGTATATGTTTTGAGGTGCCGGGTCGTCCACATGCTGTATTTCTGTGTAAGGAAATAATTTGTTACGCTACCACGTGACAAATGAATTTCAAAGCTAGACCTATAATTAATGACCTAGTATTATACCTATACATTAATTATATTATACACACGAAGGCATACACTAATTTTATTGACGCAAGAGATACTACATGCTATCAACATTGAAAACGACATTATTTGTTCCCAGACCGCTGATAGCCATGTTTATGAATTGCCAGTATACATTTAGTTCTGCCCCAAATCTCTTGGTTATTGACGAAGTAAAAATCTAATGCTTACGTTTTATAAATCCGGTTCTGTCTGGATACATGTCTGTAAGCATTTATAACATTACAGTAACCATGGATGTGGATAGCATTAGCTTCGAATGACGTCACTAAGTATTGCGTGCTGTGATTAATTATTCATGAGATGATCGATTCGATAGAAGAAACGAGTGAATGAAATAATAATTAAAACACGAGTCTCAATATTTTTTCAGTACTCTGACCAGGAAGAAAACCTTGTAATTGACAACAGATAACTGAAATGTCACTGCATAATAAATCAGCTGGGTTCAGATTAGACCGGTTTCAGGCGCTATACCGCATTTCAATACCATATATAGTAAGATCTAGTATTCGTGAAAAAAACGCTATTCTGACGACAGTGTTTGTTTCATGCAGACTGTTTTTCAGACATTGTGAGTGTTGCATTGTTAAACATACTATTTCAAAAATTTGCCACGCGCAAATGTTGGTGATTCCATTCCCTTTGCACAGCCGTACGATTCTTCAAAACGTAAAAGATATTCTAATAGTGATCTGATTTCTGTTTATGTGTTGCAATCTACTGTATACGGCATTATAAGGTTTCCTATTGACTTCGACAGGAGTGTACATTTTGATGTCGAAACATACGACCAGAACACAAGACGGTGGCCTCTGCGGTTGGTTGGTTGTTCTCGGTTCTCATATTTGCTGCATCTTCATTCACGGTGTTTACCAGTCGTTTGGTCCACTGTTCGTGGCACTACAAAGTTACTTCGATGCAACCTCTGCAAGCACATCGTGGATTTTGTGTATATCTCTATTCTTGCAACTCGGATTAGGTGAGTACACCAGCTGTATTAAATATCTCATTTGAGTAATTAATATTCCATAAGTTGTTTACCTGGGAATGTTTGTTGTAGCAGTCACAGTGATTTAGATTTCGCAGCCTCTACAGCTTGAGCTGCATCACGCATTATCGAAATTATCACATTATCACGCATTATCTTGCGCGCATTGAATAAGGTTATTAATGAACACCGTGATCAAAACACCATTCGGAACACTGATTGATCTCGAGGAGCCTCGGGCGTATCTCATCGCCGAAGTGCTGACAACGGAAGCAGACTAGGGTGAATTAGAAGCTATAGAGGACGCTATTTTCAGAAAATGCGTCGGAAGCTAACAGACATAACTTTGGAAACCAATTATTTCCTACTAACTTACACGTAGACCATGAACACAATAACAGCATAATTTGATATACCAGGAATGCGACATTACGCGGTTTCCCACCGGTACTGAACATTCTCTGCTCAGTACTGGTGGAAACCACGTAATGTCGCGCGATGGCGTTTACAGGCGTTAACTGGCCTCAGGCCTCCGTCCTCCACTGAAATGCCTGCGGCACTCGTTTGTCGATTTAGTATACTAACAAATTAGGCCCGAGGACTGTCGACAGTCTAATGGATTATCTATATCAAAACATCTCAACACAAATATACTACGGTGGTTATTTTGTGCCAGGAAATTAGTTTTTATCAAAAATGTCCTGGAAATATTCATACTTCCATTGTACTCCTAATCATTCATATGAGAGCTTCTGTGCAGCAAAAAATATTTTCAAAATTGACTGATTCAGTTCAATTTGCGGGTCAGGTCAAAGGTTAATGCTTGGCGCTGGTGTTTTGTTCATAATATGCATATAATGCGTTAGTAACGACCATTGAGTACATTTTCTATTATATATTAATAAGAGTTTTATTTGTCTTCACGGAGGACGTAAGGCGAATAATTTTAGGATAAAAGTGTACAACATTGTACCGCTTTATTTGAAAATAATTTTAATGATTTAGTGGAGAATTATATACATGTAATGTAAGTGTCCCGGAAGTGCAATTGTCATTATATGTATATTAAGTAAGTTCACGGCGAGGAGTCTTCATTCACATAAATGACGAATTACGTGGGTTTGTACAACTATGAATCGACTTATTTGTCTGGAGAATTACTACAATTGTACAAGTTTCACTATTTATCTTACAATTATACATAGATGACGTAATGACAGCATGCCAATTATAATTTTCTTGTTGATTTGTCTTGGTATATATATATATATAATCGTTGATGAAATGTTAAATACATTTTGAGAGTGAATTTTTAATTATACGTATACAATATAATGCATTAGATTAGCTGTGATTTGATTAATAAATAATAAATGACGAGCCCATGTGATACACACGGTCGATATTTGAAACACGTACACTCTACCAAACGATGTACATCACAACAAGTGGTAGATTTCGTTTTGATGGCTCGCTTCTGTCTCTCTGAAAAGTTCATAGATTTTGGCAAACCCACTCTTGCGTACATTCTAACATCCAAAAACTCGTTGCAAAAGTTACACATTTATTTTTATTCAATACAAATATATACAATATAGTGCAAGTCAGAGAAATCTTGAAAACAATATAATAATCAATAACCAAGTAATAAAAGTATGAAAATATGAAACATTACACATGTGTAATGACGTCATCTATATTGGGTTTACACGTAATATATGTGGGCATACAGGTAATACACAGTTAATTGAAATTACAATATTACTGTAAGGAAATGTGGTGTTCGTGATGATACTCACATTATGTGTTTCTGAATACCGTGTGTTTCAAGTAATCAACATTAATTTGAATAACATGGTTTGGAACATTAGAACAAATGATATGTACAAATCAAACTATAACATTACTTTGCCTGTGAAGCAGCCCCAGTACACTGATATGTCTTTTTCTACATTGGTAGTAATACAATCTTTTGAATGTTTTTTTTTTTTATATTTCTCACCAGGTCCGTTAGCTAACGTCTATGTAAAAAGGTTTGGATATAGAGCAACTGTCATGACCGGAACGTTGATATCATCCATTGGATTTTTTTCCAGTTCGTTTGCACAAAGTATTCAAGTTCTATACATAACATATGGAGTATGCATAGGTGAGTTATTTCTAAATGATTTTACAAGCAAAAAAATATTTAAAATGTCCAGAAGAATCACTTTTTAACATAATTGCAGTCACTAATGGAGTGTGTCTTTGATAAATACAGGGTAATTTAGTAAACAAACATGGTCCTACTTCAATGTAAGAACTGATGCCAAGAAATGTATTGACTGCTGATGGTCGAAAATTCGAAGAAATTTTCATATACATGCCGATGTGAAAACAGTGATTCGCAAATGTGAAGAGGAATGCCAGAGTGGGACACATCAATATATAATATATAATGTTAACAATTTTATTTTCCATTAGGACTAGGAAACAGTTTGATACTGACTCCTTGTCTTGGAATTATACCTCTGTATATTAAGAAGAAATACACACTAGCAAATTCACTAGCAGTACTGGGATCTGGAATTGGTCCATTTTTACTTACACCCATAATTCAACTACTAATCAACACGTACGGTTGGAGAGGCACGTTTATTGTGATGTCAGCATTAAACGCCCACATGTTTATATCGGGACTTTTTTTTAATACTCCAACCACCATCAGCCAGACTAGCATTCATCTAATATCGCGTCCAATTGATGATCAATATCTTACAAAACGACATCATCATGAATGGTATGCTCCATTCGGCAACATAATTCACGCATTGGATTTGAAATTAATAAGCAGATATCCTCCTTTTGCCCTTCAAATTGTGTGCGTATTTATTGGCATTGGATTAGGCACCTTTGCAGTACCCTTGTTCATCGTACTTAATGCAAGTGATTTGAACCTGTCATCACCCTTTGTAATTGCACTGCTAATTTCCATACTTGCGGCAGGTGGTATACTTGGGATGCTTTCGCCACCTGTATTGCTATATATCAATTGTAAATGCATAAATAGTAGCCGCCTTTTTGGCGTTGGTTTACTGTTGGCTGGCATTTCTACGGTGATCAGTCCTCACTTGACACTATCTTTTGCTACACATGCCGTATATTCTGCATTCTACGGTTTCGTCATTGGAATGGTGTTTACCCTATATCCTCATGTTACGAAAGATTATGTTGGTGGAACAAACCTCACTGCTGCTCTCGCACTAGCATCGATGTTTAACGGAGTTGGTGCAATGATTGGACCAACCGTTGCTGGTAAGATATAGTCATTATTTTTAAAAAGACGCAAGTTGTTATTTTATATTCCCAATCATACAATTAATTTATATAAATTATATTACTAAATTTCACATCATTCAAACCATCACATCTCATCATCTTTAGTATTACCCATATCTTAATTGAATCTATTTTCATCCTAGGATTGCTATACGATATTACCAAAGACTGCACCACATCATTCTATTTCTGTGGTGGTTGTATTACATTTGCTGGGATCCTTATGTTAACAGTAGCACCAGTCACCCTGCGAATCCAGCGATCACGAAAAAAGGTTATTCACGTAAACAACGAATTCGACAATGTAGACTTTTATCCACATCGCGGGAGACCAGACACGTGCGAATCCATAAGTCAGAAAGGTGGCTGAACTAGTAGTAAGTGTTTGTAATGATTAGTTGATGAACATTAAGAACGTTTATAGCATGAGAGTGATACAGTACTTCATGAGTCATTTGGGGAGAAAACGATAGTATACAACTTTCCATTTGGTTTTTGATATTGATCATATAGTGGAAAAGGATTTTGCAAATGATATTGTAGTAATGGAAAGCGAGGTTAGATGTTCTTTGAATTGGCCAATCCAAACCTGAAATATGTTTGTAGGAACTGCTCCACAAGTCAATCTTCACATATTCAGCATTTTACACATGTCAACAGCTGTTTGCAGTTTTTATATTGTAGTTTGATTATCTCGTTTTTTTTCCCAAGTTTCACCTTTTGGTTTGTTATTGTTTGTTATTATGACACAGGTATAGCACGTACTAATACTAAAACTGGCATAATTGTTGATATACTCGAACTGATTAAAATTACTTCATTCTCTCGAGAAGGTAATTTGTAAAATTCTCTGTATTCACTGCAAAGTCTTTCCAAGTTAGCTATTAATATTGCTTTTTGTGTTGCACTTTGAGATATATTGATAATGTACTTTTCAACAACCTAAATTCAATGAATGTACGTGTACGTGCGATTGAGGAGACTACTGAATCTTCTTCTGCTTCATACTTGGATCTATGCCTTGAATGTGGCTAAAGGCACATACCAGACTGTATGACAAGAAAGATGATTTTAATTTTACTAGCATCATTTGTTCACGTATAGTGTATACTTCAAAGACCTTTTGTAGATGTGTGGGCTTTTTAAAGAAAATTGTCTTATCTCATCAAAACTATTAAACCAAGGCAGATATAATGAGCTTGTTTTAAATAAATAAACTTTTACAATCAATATTTCAAAGGTGTTTTCATCAGTGTGATTTGCCTGATGTAGACATGGGGGTCTATACAGAAGCCACTTGATTTTCAGTGTGATATATAATTGGTGACACACGTGGAATAACTTGTTCTCACTCCTTTCGACACCGTTTCATGTAACCATGCTATGACTATGTAGTGCAGTGTTACTTGCAAGGTGTTTTGTCAGTTGTTGTCTTTCATTAGTTTTGTGTTTTTGTCAAATTTCCCTACACGACTTGTCTTCAAGTTTTGTATATTATTTCGACTTATACAATACAATATAATTTACATACAGTATATATATTTGTTGTTGTAATATATATGCAGTAACAGGGAAAATGAACAGATATGAGATAAATTAGTAACTACATAGCAGTATTTTAACATTTATGCCTGGAAAACAGCAGTTAGCTAAAGAAGAGCTAATGAAGGCTATTACCCTTTATTACTTAGTATACTTGAGATATTAGGGAGAATAAATAAATAAATAAAAAACAACAACAAGTAACGTGATTAGTAATTTCTGAAAACCATGCATACAATTACGTAGCTTATCAGTATATTTATAAACAAATAAATTATATTGAATCAAAAGTCTCAATTCTTCAGCATCACCAATTCCAAAGCTCGCTATAGACCTATAATTAATGACCCAGTATTTTACTTATCTTAATTAAATTATACATAATTAATATTTAACTTATATTAATTATATTATACATAATTAATATTTAACTTATATTAATTATATTATACATACGAAGGCATACACTAATTTTATTGACACAAGAGATACAACATGCTATCAACATTGAAAACGACATTATTTGTTCACAGACCGCTGATAGACATGTTTATTAATTGTCAGTACACATTTAGTTCCGCCCAAAAATCCCTTGGTTATTGACGAAGTAAAAATCTAATGCTTACGTTTTATAAATCCGGTTCTGTCTGGGTACATGTCTGTTCGCTTGTACTAAATGTCACGTTATTGAATTGACGTTACAACCACAATGGGTGTAAAAAGCGTTAGCTTCAGTGACGTCACTAAACATTGATCAATTCGGTCAAACAAACGAGTAAACAAAATAAGTCTCAAATATTTGTCCACACATTTATTTTCTCAATTTAACAATTGTAATGGTGGAAGTTAATTAAACGTGACTTGTTTACACCACAATAAGTCTCAAATATATGTCCAGACATTTATTGTCACAATTTAACCACTTGGTAATGATGGAAATTAATTAATTAAACAAGACTTGTCTACACCAAAATGAGTCTCAAATATTTGTCCATACATTTATTGTCACAATTTAACCTCTTGTTAATAGTGAAAATTACTTAAACTTGATTTGTTTAATCAGTTGACATCAATGCAACTTACCCGCAGACAGTGTACAACATAATATCAGTAATGAGCTACAATTATTAACAGGGACGTGTCTTGGCATTAGGGCTAGGGTCGGGTGGTCAGGTATCGACAACGTAATTATTAACAGGAATGTGTCTTGAATTAGGATTAGGATCGGGTCAGGTATGGTCAAAGCAAATAGAAAACACCCAATTGGCAAGATGTACATTAACGGGTTATGGCATACATATAGTTAACACAAGTAAAAACATGAAATTGGCAGTTTTTTGGACAATTGTAAATCAATAGAAATGTGTTGTATTTATATATATTTACACACTATATAGTCTCATCAAATGCAAATACAACCAGTCAAATCATAGTGGTCTTGTGGGTCTATATAGTGACCAGGTGGACCCGGGTTCAATTCCCATGCCTGCCCGTCTTTTCTCCCTGGTACGTTTTTGAATGCTAGTGCTCCTAGTGCTCCTATAAATAGGACTTGAATCTTATCACCTGTGCAAAGACACGTGTGACACAGTAGACGAAACAGTGCGCTGGGTACTCAAAGATTGCATGTTCGGATCACGGACTTGATACTACCTCACATGGAAGCAAGTCACATGGCGCAACACAGTTACTAAAAAAGACGGTTAGGAAAAAACCGTGTTCTTTTCATTGGATGCGTGACGCGGGTAAAGATTTGAAACAAAAGACGTACTAATCTGTGATAAAGCTAGGCTAATCATTAACATACAATGTAGACAGGAAATCACGCAACTATGACGTCATTTTTCCCAGAGTTCATTGCAATCAACAACTGCACGCCATTTCATTGCTTATCTGTGTCGATGCTAAAGTGTAAGTTGTTCCAGTGAATCCTGACAAAACCTCTCAGCCATGCGAAAGTTTTAATGAAGAGAGTTTTAATGCGATACAATAACTGACCTACCTACCCGTGCTCTACAAAATGCTTGTAAGCACACCAAAAATGCAACAACAGGCAGTTTAATGACATTAAGAACGGTTAAAAAAGGTTCGAAAAATTGATTTGGCGAAGAGACTTCTAAAAAGTTGTACCGAGAGTTCAATGCTTTCAAAAATTGTTGCGTTGACTAAAACTGTATTTAACCACACGTTGAATAATTTGGCAAAAAGCTTAAACAAGGACAGACAAGAACAATGAACAGACATTTCATGAAACTGGCGGAAAATGTTTACTACATTTTCAACGATTTCTACGGCGTCTACAAAAAAGTGTAAAAACTTTAAACAAAATGGCTGATACAGTGAGGCGAAAGCACAACGATAAAATTCACTCTAATTAGCCCCCGAATCGCATACAACCGTCATAAGTACGTACAGAAGTATACTAAAATTCTTTTGATACCATTTTTTATAATATAATTTATTTTAAAATAATGACTTAGGGGTTAGAATTTTCGTCACTTTTTCTTCCGAAACCCAAGCTTACTTTCATGACAACAGTGAAAACGATAAATGACGATTCTCGATTCTGAATGTTATCACAGTCACAAAGAATACTCATCCGAAACGTACGTGTAGTTCTTCGTAGAGCTTGTGCACTAAATATGGACATTCTATCGAAAACGAGCTGAATTTCAAATTCGCGGGACATCAAGTGGTGGACAAAAAAAGAAACAAAATGGTGGGCCTTGAAATCTCGAGCGACAGAGGGCTTACACAGCGCGACACGCATACATGAGGGATTAGGCAGATTCACACCTTTTACTTACTTACTTTATTAAACATATAAAATTCCCCAGGAGGAATTAAAATGGTTACAATTACACTAAACAGAACTAGACTAATAATACAAAACATTAAGTCTAAAGTAATGATTAAAAAAAAATAATAATAATAATCGAAATAAAAATTAATAAAAAAACATGAATAGTAATATATCCTATATATATAACAATAGCGTTTCCTAACCGTCTTTTTTAGTAACCGTGCATGCAACAACAACAACAGACACGAGGATCATTGCTGCCCTCCAAATGGGTTCCTTCTTTTGTATTGACCCCTAACAATTGCTAATTCCCCCTTTCTAACTCTTGCCTTCCAAAATAATATATCGCCTCTTTTAGAATGTATTGACCCACAAATTTATGAATATTCATGAGCACAGAAACTTTTACGTCATGAATAAATTAGCATAATTGAAAAAAAATTGCATAAAGTGTAGGTACGTCTTCTGGAACCCTGCCCGACCAGAAAGCAAGATGGTGGCTGTGTCTGTTTGTTGGTTGTTCTCGGTTGCCATATTTGCTGCATTGCCAGTCACGGTGTTTAACAGTCGTTTGGTCCACTGTTCGTGGCAATACAAATTTACTTCGATGCAAGTTCTGCAAGCACTTATTTAGCTTTATTTAGCATATTATTTTATCTTTATTTTATTGTTATATGACCATAGAACAACTCACTATAGTTCGTTTTAGTGTTGAATAAATAAATAAACAAACATCGTGGATTTTATCTATATATCTCTATACTTGCAACTGAGTTATAGTACACCAGCTGTTTATGCACTGGATTAAAAATCTTATTTGAATAATAAAGCATTCTTTGTTCACCTACATCTTGATTGAAACATGGAACTATAATAAACCACAGGAAGAACAACGCAACTAAGAGGATTAAAAAAACCTTTCGCTTTTGTTTCCACAAAATTAGTCATACTCCATGTTAGTTACCGCTGATACGCCCGTATCAACCGTTTTGCTGGGAACGAAAAACTATTGCATATCTGCGCAGTAAAATATTTCATTCACTACGCATGCGCAAACAAGTTGGTCTGCAGGGTGACCTTCAGTGTACCGGCAATCGTGCAACG